CTCTGGCTGAATGCACAAGAAACAACACAGAGACCCACACACTGAGACAAGTTGTTTCGCCACTTTGCCCAACTGTGCTTAGGACCCCCATACGTGTCCCAGTCCACCATGCACAGAGCCCTGTGCACCGCCTATCCACATAGTGCAAAAAACCGTTTCATTCGGCCAACTTGCAGCACCAACGGAGGGGGGGCATACATTACTCATATGGAGTCATCATTCCCAGGACAAGCAATCAGTATGCATACAACAAACAGGCTGTGTTTCCAATGCATGCGCAACGCTGCATTAACAGATGCTGGGAATGCCAGTGTCAAATGCGGATCGGGCTGCTCAACCGTCGTGGCACCGATATTTTTCTCAATTGCTTTGGTACACTTTAGCCGTGCGCTTCAATCTATCTCTGCAGGGCGACCGGGGCCAAGTGGTCCTGTTTTGACTATTTCCGTCGCAATCTGGTAAATTTTTGTGGTCTCGTGTGCGCGATTTCGGCGACTTGGCTCCAGCCGCATCACGCCCTTCAGCCTGGATGTGCTTGATCTTAAAACCCAGGGCTGTAATCTTCTGTTGTTGGCGAGCACGATATGCTATGAAAGCTGCCTCCTTTGCGCTCATGTTCCTCTCCTGCTCCTGTAGCATCCACACCCCATCCTTGGATACTCCATAGACATGAGAATCTGTTGATGTAAGGTCCAGCTGGTGAGAACCGCGGCAGCACGTGCAAATGACGGTCTTTGATGATCAAGGCCTTTGTAATCCGTTCTGTCAAACACCAGAAAAAAAAAGTGTGCGTACACCTGCAAGGCGACAAGGGGAATGTGCTGGATTACTTCCCCACATCGCCATTCAGCTTCACAAGACCCGCGCCCGATTTGAAAAGTTCGCACGGTCAAGGCGCAAGTGACTTAATGCAACCAAGTAAACAATAGCATTCAATGGTGCTTTGTGTACCTGATGTGAACACGATACAAGGGTGTCTCCATTCACGGGCATGCGCCCCCGTTTACTCTGCAAGGGTGAGTGCTTCGGCAAAGCTGAAACTTTAGGTACTCTATTTCCCCTCCACAAATCTCGTCTGGCAAGAGAATTCCTTGGCAGGGGAACAATTCCTTGTGCGTTGCTCATTAGCATACTCAGGAAGCAACATTCACAGGTCTTCTGTGTTGAGGACCTTCGTAAGTGTTAGAGATCAGATACTTATTAGAGATGTGCACATCTTTGGATACCTAATCTCTATTGCACATTTCTACACACAGAGGTGCTCATTTCATTGTTCGGAATCCACCCCCCTCCCCCTCCCCCTTCCCCTGGACATGTGTTTGGATTACATGGGCCGAAATATTCGCGATGCAGAAAAGAGCGCAGTGTCTTTTGCATAAGAGTGGCACCACAGCCTTGGAAACGAGCTTTCGCAAAGCAATGCGCTCGATACTCGAAGTACAAGCGACTTGCGCGTGCTCTGCAAGGATAATATTCTAATTCAGCCTGTTCGATGCTCGCTTTGGTGCCCTTCAGCACGACATGTGCTGCCACCGCCGCGGCAAGCGAAGGATTTTTACATGAAATTCTGGACAAAACACGCTTGCGGAATCCCATGCTGTCGCCTACAAATGTCATATGGGTCCAACTTTGCCCCAGATTGCCTTGATTTGAACAGATGAGCGCGACATTGTATTAAAACATGTGCCAATGGCTCCGAAGCCAAATCTTGCGCTTGTTCTTGCAATTGACGCTCAGGTTTGAGTAGTATTCAACTCAGCCGCAGATGCAAAGTTGCCCATAAAATCACCCTGGAAACTGTAAATTAAGAATGTTCCTTACTATTCTGAGAGTCGCAACCCAAGTATGCAATCAATGCAATGTGAAAAAGCAACATATGATGCCTTTCTCACCTTTAGTCTCCTCTGCAACTCTTTAACTTCTGCTTTCAAATTGTCATCCACTTGTACCGGCGCTGACACAGCTTCGAAGCGCAGCTGGTTTTCCAAGCCAGCGCATCTGAAGGGTGCATTTCAAGATTCACCATAACACCAGTGAAATTCACACTCCTTGGAGAGCACCGTGAGCAAGTCGTGAAAACTTGCTACGAACCAGTCGTGTACTTGACGCTAAAGCATAACCCGCTCGTGTGTTTACGCAAGCTTATGGTTTTCTTTGATCTGTTTCCGTTTTGGGGTTGTTTTCTGGACGTTGTTCTGCACCAATGCAATGAGGAAATCTGTTCAGATCCAGGCTTTGGCAAAATTCAGCAGTGACACCATATCCATTCAATGCCCTGTTGCTCGTTCTGTTTATTGTGCCACTTTGAATTAGGCCTCCACCTGGCGGTATCAATTGTCAAGCGAAACGTGTTAAGGCACCCACATAGGTTACCTGTTTTTTTGTTCCTTCAGTTCCCGCTGTGTTGTCTGAAGTTGCCTGTGCAGCCAGTTCATCTCCTCGACCATCTCTTCATCAGCATCTTTTGTCTCTTCCGTTTTGGCATTATTCTTCTCAACTCCATCAGGGCCTCCACTCAGCGCACTTCCAATCAGTGCTATCTCTGCCTTCTTCTTTTGGAGATCTCTTTCGGCAAGTCTCAGTTTGTTTGTGGTACTTCTGAATCTCGCACGGATAACCATCGTCTTCTTCGTATATTGTTCATCGGAAAACTTGCCTGCTCTCTCACATTGAGCGAAACGTTCTAGACCTGCGGACTGAGGAATTGAAAGAAATGTCTTTGAGATGTTATTTGGCGATAAGCGATTCCCACCGGCAAGAAAACCCGCAATTATGGTGCGCTCCAATCGACTTGAAATCTCACACCCTCCGTTGTGTCCAAAAATGACTGAACACCAGAGATCTCACCACCGAAACAGCATTCCACCAGTGAATAAAGCGGCTCACGCGTGCCCCGTAGGCTACCTAGGTCAGAAATCGCATATGTAAATTCAAGGATGGACAACGCCCTAAAGAAAATGATGAAAAAATCATGGGAAACTCGTGGGAAAATATGGCTGCCGCACACGGAATGGATATGCAGCAATGCCATTATGGTTTTGCTCATCAATCAGATGTTCAAAATGGAGCCGGGACAGCAAGCAATGGCTGGATTATGATGAATTCAGCATGTGTTCATTATCACCCATATTGTACTCCTACAAGCGAATACTACGGCATGTCGCTGGTGATGTGGGGACGATGTCGCCTGCATTATTCGCATGACACGTTCAGCTAAGTGAAGGTGCCGTGCCGCCTTCACTTGTCCAACGTTGAATTCGAAATTGCGCTGTTTCGAGCAGAGTAACAAACGTTTGTTACTCTCCTCGGAACAGTGCAATTTCGAAGTTAGATAAATTTCAATCAACTGATGGTCGCCATTCAACTCGGGCGTCCGAAAGTTTTCATCCGTTGTTAATTTCTTGGCTTCCAGCACGAGCTACAGCACGTCGCAACTTTGACCATTCGTGCCATTTCCAGCATTGATGAGGTAGCAACCGTTCACGCTCCAATTCGCAAAGCAGATGCCGTGATTATCATAGAGTCTCCGCAGCCATGCACAACCTGTTGTACTATTTCACCGGCATATGCTGTTTGGCGTACATGCGCAGTGCCAAATGCGCCTGCTGCACTAAATATCAAGAATGCGAAACTTGGCAGCCAGATACCGCATGTGCAGAGCCCCTGTATGTAATGACAATTCTTCTAGGCAGAACTGCACATATCAAGAGCACAAATTCATTGGTTAGACCAACCATACATTACGCCAAAAACGCTAATTGGAAGAATCACGCTGCCATCAGCGTGTTCTTCCTGGAGATGTTGCCATGCAAATTTGCGTATGCAAAACCATTTGAGCAGTTCCACAGACAACAGACCCCAGAAATAGAAGCCAGTGCACAGGCCGAGGCAAGTGGATGGGCAGAAAGGAGCCCACCTTTGCTGCCTGCCCATCTGGCAGGTCCCTAGATCCAGCGCCTGTGTTCCCCGCGCACAATGAGGAGGGGTGGGAGGGGCCGTGAGGGTGGGTGGGAGGTTGGTTCGGGAGGGGTCGTGCCTCTCTCCGATGCTTGAAGCGGACATCTGCAGTCCTGGTTCCTGCGGATGCGCCTCCGTTGGGGCGCTGGCTTGAAGCACTAAGTGCATTGACGTTGAGTCCCGAACTCGTCTTATATTCTGTTGTGTTCTCATGGAAACCTAACGGACTGGTGGCCGTGTCTTTCGAAGAAACCAGTGTTTTGAGGCTCGAAATAATTTTGTTGACCCATGTGCTAACCTGCGGAGGCCAGACCAATAGCGTGCCAAGGATCAGACAGCCTCACCACTGCATATCAGGAGGCACACACTTGAGGCACTATGGCTTGGGCCGGTGGAAAATATCAGTACAATTGTAGTATCGCGCAAGGGAAATAGAATTGAGCTATTGTACAGTGCCACAAGGCGCAGAAGAGACAGTGGCACAAGTTGCACTACCAAGGGGGTGACCACCTATGGCCCCCCCCTCTGTTGACATAAAGTCGTCACCCCTGTGCGCCTAAGTCGCGAAATTCCGAGTTGCGAAATCTGGTACTCTCATGTGTTTGAACTGCGGTTAGCACAATACGAGGCAAGGCCAAAAGTGGCAAGCAACACATGAAGAGTACGACAACCGTTGTGACACCCACTTTGTAGATCTTTGAAGCGGCAAGTTCCAGAATCCCTGTGAAGTTTTCTGGGATGTTGCTGTTGTCAACGCGTTCGAAATATGGGAAACATGAGGAATTTCACTGTGCAATCCTCACCATTAACAGCATCTGTAAGAGTGCCCAACCTCCAATCGCTTCGACAGCTCTCATGGCTGGAGTTGTACGTTGTTTCTGGCCGTTTCATTGAGGAATCCATTGCATGAATGCGGCTCAACTGGGATCCAATTTCAGCTGGGAATGATGCTGGACTACGTCCATCAAATGGACAGCCCCACTTGCACAACATTCGTGAGTCCATACATCACAACTGTTGGCGGTGAAGAATCAACACACAACCTGCGACAGGTAGGATATCGCGTCTTCAATCCTGCCACTTTCTATGAGCGTCTCAACTACACGATCGACGTTGGAGAGGTCCCGTTTTACTTTCCCCGTTTTGAGCATCTCCCCAGACTGTTGCTCCATCTCAGCAAAATGCCTTTCCAAGCTGGTGGCCGCCGCGATCGCCTTAGGATTCAGCACCTGTGGCAGTCCGACACTGCAATTGAGGAGCCGATTCACTGGGAGGCAGTACATGGGCATCCACAACTATTGTGCAGTGGGTTGGTTCGCACATTTTTCTGAGCTTACCACCCAGTACCCGAGGTCCCCAATGGCGGACACCTTTGCACTATATACGAAATGTATGCTAGGTACATGATGCTCCCTGGTGCGTAGGATGGCACAAACTGTGGAGGGTGTCCATCTTTGAGCACAGAATGCCACGCAAGTGAGCAGCAGCTTATTTAGTGCTTTCTTTCCCAAAATTGTGCCCGAAGCGCCAATGTCAACGTCAACACACGCACAATGCCTGCCTTGACAATCTCCTTGACCCACCCACACGTTCACACAGGACAAAGTCATTACACTTCAAAACCAAATGGTGTCCATCACCATCGACAACGTGAGGTTCCCATTCTATGGTGCCCATTTGATTAGAAACTGTGAATACTGAGGTGAACGTGACACAGCCCTGAGCCAGTCTATATATCCTATCTTCAGTCCCTCATCCATCCCACACCCAGTGGAACTTCACCCTCTTCAAGCATTTCGAGCAGGCGTGAACAAGGCGAGGACAAAGAGGAGAAGCCCAAATCCCCCTCTTTTCTTTCATGTGCCCATCTGAACGCATTTTTCTGTTGCTGTTCGTTTTGCAAGTGCTGTGCGTTCATCCTCTCGCAATGGGAGAATATGCACCAAACTCCCACTGCAAGGAAAAGAGTTTCACTGCCAACTGTTGGGAACTCTTGCTGCGTTACATCATCGCCAAGTTCTTCTTGGAAATCAGGAATGGGCGATTCTAAATGAAATTGGTCGCCAGTTACAACGTTCAATGCTTTGGAGTGTCCATGACAATTGATTGCCAACGATGATGTTCAATGGCTGTTGTTCGCCAGACAGGAAGCTGATAGCTGCCTCGTTCCTTTGACATACGGTATTTGCAGTGCAGCATACATCCAGGTATCGAATCAGCTATGCTCAATTGGACGCTGAACGGCACTTTTAAATCCGACATGTTGCATGCTGCTGACGTGTTGTGTCGATGATTATCTGATCCCTTCCACATCAACGCAAGCTGCAAAGTGTATATGGGTCTTGCGCACCTGCCGCGGCTTCGTTCGATCCGCGGTATTCTCCATGCCAGCGAGCTTGCACTGCTCAGGCAAGGTACGCCAGAAAGTCGAGTTCGTGAACGCGCTTGGGAGATGGCCACCCCGTGGGTCAGGAGGGTAAACGTTGAGCGCGGTAAGAGGTACTTTTGACCAGGATTATCGGTGAAGGCCAGCCAGATTACAACAAAACTAAAGGAGCGTAACGTTGTGCACGCACAACAAAATTACGTGGCGAATTCGAGAGGTTCCAATCAGCTTTGCACGTGGAAGGCAGAGGTGCCTGAGTTCCCTGTTTCTGGAGTGAAATCGAGAGCACAGCAATACCCCCTGGCCCAGATATGAAACTTTTCAATTCAATGCCGTCCAAACGCCAAATCACGGCAACTACAGCACATCCAAAACAGAAGGACGGCACTGAAATGGAATTTAGAGCGAAATTGCGGGAACTAGGGCATAGACCACAGGTGTGAAGCGTGATAGAGGTGCAAGGCCAGACACTGTATCCATGGCACCCACTGGATGTGCTTCTCCTTCGGTACTCCCTTGGCATGACAGTCTCACCTTTGTTCCGTGGCCCTAGGAAGTGGTGCTGGGTCTCAGTGCACAACAACAGGTGCAGGTGACTTGGACACGGATTAGCTGCCTGCCAAGGCTGCGCTCTTTGCTGGATGCCAAGCGCAGAGACTGACAAGAAAAAAACAACGACATCCCATCAAGAAATGGTTGCCATCTTGACTGCTCCCAAGGCATGAATACCCACCCCAACTTACTATTTTCTCTGTGTATTTCAAATGCAGCAGCAGCATGTCAGAGCACAGCATGCTGCGGGAGCCAATATGGTGTGCTGAGTGCTTCCAAGTCTTCTGGTTCTAAGCCCTCGCTTGTTGTCTTGAAATGCTAGTATGTTGTCAAAGCACAGCCAACATAACCAGACTGCAAGAACGCCATTGACCCACACAGAGCGGTTTGAAAAGGGCACAACACTATCAAACCTCATCTCCTGTATTCAGGATGCCTGCAAGCTTTTCAGCAACCATTGCTGCCCATGTGCGATCTCTTTGTGACAGGGACCTGCAAGCAGAGGAAGACAGAACAATGGAGAAATTCATGTGGACAAGACAGGCGATGTTAGCTCGGATGACAAACTGGAATACCTGCCACCAGACGCAGCATGAACTTCCATGACGTTTGCCAACACTTTGTCAATGAATCAGCATGGACAGGAGGCAATTTTTCCCTAGGCAGAGCATTTGACTATCCAAGAGATTGTGAGATTTTGACCCTACACAACTGCTTCATGCAAAACATCTTTGCTGCTACAGGTTTCTACTCAGCACCATCTCAATCCACATGCAGCTTAGTCTGCACCTGTCAGTCCATCAACCTTGCAATGTTGCACTTATTCAGCTGTTTGCAACAGGTGACAACGATAGCGATAGTCACTGTCCAACGTCTGGGTTGCCTGTGCAACCTGAGATGACACAGTGATGCTTTCGTCACCTGGGCTCGTCAGACATCACCATCAGCATCCCATTAACCGGAGCTCCATGGATTGACTCCAGCCGCTGCAGCAGCACTGACTGTATGCCACTGCCAACAAATCCCCAATGCTGCGCATCAACGGATGCCATTGCCCCATTGTCGGGCAAGTACTGCGGACCCAGAGTGCCATCAACAACCCTTGACAAGGTGGTCGAACCCTTCACAGATGGTATCCCCAGCCACCCGAGCCCCGTAGAATGTGGGTTAAGAAGCCTTTGGCTTCTTGGGACTCCACAACGCACATTGACAGAGACACACACGAAGCATGTGGTGCTGCTTTCTTCCTCGTATCATATTTGACACAGGCCATCAGGCCAGTTTTCATGGAACAAACTGAGCTATTTTCCTAGGTGCCAAGCAATGCATTCATTGCTGCAGGTGACCAGCATTCGGGCTACAGTCAAACCCATGCATATGCCAGCCCAGCGGCTGTTCACAGTTACCTCTGTAATGGCTCCCAGCTGCTGTTCAGGCGACTCCTCTGTCAATGCCTTGCTGGGCAGTGCACCCCTGGCCACAAGCGCTCTCCCATTGTGCCAAATGAGCACCGTGCAGGAATTGGTATTCCGCAATAGTGCAAATGAAGCCCATGCCAGCTCCTGGTTCAGCACAGAAGCTGGCTTTCAGCATTTGCAAGTTTTGGGAGGTGCTGTATTCAGATTGCTGAGCTTTTGGTTGCGATGCCGCCCAAGCAACAGAGTGCTGCTCTTGGCCTTCAGGACAATGGCAGGCATCATCCCATCCACAGTGGTTGCCCATAATGCTTACTCATCTCTGCAAGTCCAGCAAACAGTGAGAGTGTGGGAGCTGCTGTTTTGAGCCTGGCTTCCTGCCCCCAAGTCAAAGTTGCAGCAGGCACACAGGAAGCGTGTGGCACTTCTCACCTGCTTCATTTGCTCATCAATGCTCGTTTCCAGGAGAAATGCCTGGGATGTTCCTGGAACTGTTGCTGATGATGCCCTTCTGCCCTTTCCTGGGGTCAGCTCCTTAAGACGGTTTTCTATTGAAGGTGCTGCAATGCAGACTGATGACAGGATAACTCCAAGTGCCTCCGCTCTCATCTGCAGAGAAAGTCAATCAACTTTGTGTGGCAAAATGTGCAATTGGCCATGTATGGATGCCTGGGTTCATGATCACCCTTGCATGTGCAATTGCTCCTTTGCACTGTTTGTCTCTTTGAATGTGAGGCTCTGCAACTTTTTGGGAGTGCACACTGGGCCGAGCAATAGGAACCATCCAGATCTCTGAAGCAGTGATGCCACGATGGTTTGACAACTGGCACTCTGCAACATACGTTACACAATTTTGTGGTGTTTGTGCAAAATTTTGTGGAAATTTTGACACTTTTTTTGCATTTTTCCTTGTTCTGGAGGCGTAAAACGCGAACATGCCTTGTTGGGGGTGTGCAAGTTGCGAGAATCAGGCTGGAGGGTTGGTCTGCAAGCGGAAACGCCCAATGACGTCAGCTTCACCAGAAATGATGACGCGGTGCTCAACTTTGGTAGTTATGGAAAATACACCCCCACAGTGCCCTATACGACAGCAACTGGTGCTGCAGCATCTAACAGTCCCAACTGTTACCTGAGCCAAGGATGGACTTTCGCCTGCAAAGATGTGATTGATCAGAAGCAGAACAGCACCCAGAATCCCCACCACTCTGGGCGTCAGGGAATCATCAAACCCTGGAATGCCAAGTGTGAATCGAAACACTGCAACATCCAGTTCTTCATCACCCAGACCACCTGCACCACCCAATTCTCAAATTCAAGATAACCATGGACTTATGATCCTCACAATATTTTTGCTGTCACTCTGGATGCTTAGCTTTCAGCAAGGTGTGACTCCTCGTGGCCATTGCAAACAGTATTGCATTCATTGTGCAACACGATCGCCAAAAGTGCAAGAAAACGTTTATATCAATATGACCACATCATTCTCGTAGTTTTGCATTCCAGGCGTCGTATCAAATCAGGCACGCACAAGAAATGGTCTCAGGATCGCTCCAGGGTTGAATGTGATTTGATGCCCTAGACTATTCCATGCCATGGCCATCTGCCGTTTCATTACAACGCCTTTCCAGATTGCAATCAAATATTCTGGTTTGCGATGCCATACCAGACTTCGCTAGAGGTGCCTTGCACTTGTTTCCCGGTGAGCGATCCCTTCGGATGCCATGGACAGCCTTGCGAGACAAGCCAAATATTGAACGTCATTGATGCACTGACACCATGCCCACGTGACTGCTGTTTAAAAGCTCTGCGAGCACATAATCAGCAAACTAGGGGCCACAGCGGCTCCACTTCTGCAGGAAACCGTTTGCACGAACCCAACTGCTTCAAAAGGAACACTGCAACATCGGCTGACTGGTCTCAATCCCTCGCTCACAGAACAGAAGTCTTTGGGAACCAATGCGAGCGTTTCCAAACCACGCCTGGTACCGCCTGCTCGAGACAAGGAAGGCACTTTGCCATGACAGTCCAACATTCGATGCAATTCCACCGCTGCCAGCAAACGGGGACGTTCGCCACACACCTTGTGGGTGCGGCCGGCGGTCGAGGACGGCCAGCTGCGCAGCCTGCAACCCTGTTTAGGAGTTTCCCTTGCGAGAGACAAGTCTGCAAGCCGGGAGCGCATTGACGCACCCACAACCGAGACACTGGAAGAAGCTGGACGTTCTTTCACACAGTCCAGTCGTCCAAATCCACACAGCTTCACCAAGCCGGCGTTAGTACTTGGTGCCCACATGTCTGACGCCGCATTGAGGGACAAAGGCTCGACCGCCGACTCGACTGCGGCAACTCGTTGGCTGAGGCGGTCCTTGCAGGGCGGCGCGAGAGCCAGCTGCTGGTTGCTGAGATGGCGTTGAATTCGTCAGACTCTCCCGGCCTGAACATCTCTACCGAGCTTGCTCAGGGCCTGGCGGCTGAGCAGCAGAAGGCGGCCATCCAGCAGCTGGTTGCCAAAATCACTGATTGCTGCTGGCAGAAGTGCGTGGGGACGCCAAGCAGCAGTTTCAGCTCCAGGGAGAGCTACTGCCTGGAAAACTGTGCCAAGAGGTTTTTGGATGCGCAGAGGTACATACTCAAAAAGGCCCAACTGGAGGAGTGAGGGGCATTGTCGTCAGACGTGACCACGGGCTCTGAGGCGTTGTTTTGGTGCATCCTCAGCACAAAAGACGGCCTCCGAGCACTTATGTGAGCCTCGCGTCAGGCGGAAATTGACGAAAGCGAAGAGAAGCTCTGGTGTTGAGGATTTTCTTGGGGCATTTGGGATGCACATTGCAAGTGGAGATTTCGTCACCAGGTCCATGGTGTTCCGCCTCAGCTCTAGCGGGGCCTTGACTGATGCTGTTTCTCCATCTTTTGCCATGCGCGCATCTTTCCTCGACCCCTTCACTTTAAAAATTTGGAGATCAGTATGCAATTTGTCTTGAATGGCTGGATTCTGATGCATGCTGATGTATGCTGATGTGAGGATGTAATGGAAAAGGGACAAATATCTCGTTTCAATGTTGAGATCAGGCTGCTGTTCCAAGGGTATGCCGATCCAGAAGTTGATGGTGAAATTACGTGGATCTAAGTGGGCATCTGGCATATTTTTGCCTCCTAGTGCTGATTGTATCAAGTGCCCATAATTCCCTGTGTTCTCAGACATGTCTTGGTTTGCACATGATCATTCAATCAACTGTTTCAATGGTGAGCGCCACACTATGAATACCAAGCAACAATTGATATCCTTTGTTGCTGTGTCTCAACCAGCTGAAATGAAAACATCTTGCTGCGGTTGTCGAATAGAACGTCCACACTGTTGGACACTCTGCAGCTTGCCGTGGCATCCACGAATCATCGGGGTAGAGTTGCAACCCTGTTATCTATGGGGCAGAGGGCTCCAGCGAGAAACAGGGGACCCTTAAGATTTGGGTGATCTTTGGACTTCTCTGGCATTCAGATATGCATGGCCAGCACAACAGCCTGAGATCCCAACAACAAATGAGCGTGTGCTGTTCAAAGCGCACACACTACAGCAGGTTCCTATGAAGTTGCAAGGTTTCGTTGCATTCTTGGATTGCTGACACCCCATCACTGTCAACCATGCACAGACCAACCCCAAAAACCCTTATGTCTCAATCCAGCCAACGCACATTGTCTCACAGAGTCTTCTGATTCCAACATATTTACAAGTGGATATTGTCTGCTTAGCAGCCAAGCTCAGACAAACATGATCCAGCCTATTGAATCCCTCGCGTGCAGGGCTTCGTGCCCATGCCAAGAGCTGCCTCCATCTGTGAGTGTGTGTCAGTCGGAGTGACCACCGATTGATCGGGAAGCCCCATGAATGACTCGATGGTGAACTCTTCAAGCTTGCCAAAATAAGCCTCAGACGCAATGTTGGAGCTTGCAAGCGGGGGCAAGCGTTGATTCCTACAGGTGCAAGAGCAACACAAGGCCTCAGCTAGCTGACAGCAGGTCTCAGAATCACACTGCAACAATTATTCCATCAGTTGTTACCAGCAGCATTGCCTTTGTCAGATGTCAATCCTCCAATCAAAGATGTCTCCCAATGGGGCCTTCTAACCGAAATGTTGCCCACCTTTCCAACAGCTGCTTCTCGATGTGCATCCTCGCAGGCAGGGCGGAGCCGTACAGATTCCTCAGCGTTTCATACCTGCCAGAGTCTTGGTCCGCCTCCCACTGCGTTTTCAAGCAGCCACGCACGTCATTCACCTCCATCGGGCAAGCAGATGCGACGCTCGGGGCGCGAGAAAATCCCCGCAAAAACATGCCGCAACATCACTCCAGTTTGGGATCTGCGCTGCTGTCCCCGGGACTGCAAAACTGTGTTGCTGCAACGAGTACGCATCATCGCATCGCGACGGGCTGCGCGACGGTGCCGATGCGCTGTCTGCTGCGGCGCTGCCGACGGCGACTAGCCACAGCTCTCCAACCCTCGCCCTATTATAAGCGGGTTCGCATCAGCAGCCCTCGCGGAGATCAAGGCGCGAACGTTTGCTGCGGGGCCGCCCCCCACCTGCTTTTGTAGCTGCTCCACAGGACCGTAGTCCACGATCCCGTCCCTCAAGGTTCGAAGCCCGTTCCTCATGGGGTCGTGGTTGCACGTCAAGGGGACCCGGGTTTCAAGATCCTGATCAAGCCAACATGAGCCAGGGTCAGCCGCTTGCTGCCTTCCCGTCCGGGCGGACAACGGCACAGGGGACACGCTCGCGAGCAAAGGGCGGCAGCCGGCACGGCAACGCAAGCGCAGGCGTCCGTGGCGAGTACCCACCATGTTTGCGCCCAGAGGATGCGCCATGGTGGAGGGCAGTTCGGGGCCACGGGCGATGTGTCCAAGGCACGGGGGTATATTGGGCTGCGCACAGGGTTGCTGGGGGAAAAAAAATTACTGCCTGCACCAAATCGGTGACTGCTTGCATCAAATCACGTGCACTAGGGCACATTCACCCTTTTCAGCAAGCCTCACAGGACAGGTCGCAGCCGCTGCTGCGGGTCCGTGACTTCTTTCCGGGGTCCAACCGTGCAGTTGTCCATGCGTGCCACTGTCATGTTCACTGTCTGGAATGGAATAGTCCAAATGTTACTTGTCTTAAGCCAGGACTCATTTCGGTGCCACGACTCGGTGATGAAGGGACTCGGTGAAAATCTGCGGAGGTCAGGTCTCATGGGTTTGGAGAAGTTCATTTTGTTGGGTGCACAGGGCCAGAGTAGCCGGAACTGAGCCTTGCGCCCATCATGCTTCACATGGCGTTGCCTTCCTCAAATATCATTCGAAATCCTTTCTTCTTCCTTTCTGTTTCCGAATCCAAGTCCTTACATCGCAACTAACAGTCGAACTGGCCGGTTGAAAGAGTGCTGCCACAAATCGTGTGGCCTGTTTCGTTGTTCACGAGAAAGCTGTGGGCTCACTCCGGCAAATTTTCCAGGACATTGGCAGCTATGTTGGCGTTCACTTTGGCTGGAGGAGTCCTGCTTTCTGGTATTTGTGAATCTGCATTCTTTGCTGTTCCCGTCACCGAGTTGTTTGAGTGTGAATCTGTCGCCTCTTGATAGCAGAAGGCACCAGAACTGAAGGACACACACGCAGAGCTGGAAGGGGAAAGCAACGACTGGATGCCCGTTGCAAAGAGCCGAGCTTCTTCGGATTCCGCGAGTGAATCGACAATATTCATGTGCGCCAATTCGGTGACGCCACCCAGGCATGGCAGATTCCGTGCTCAATGCATATAGTACACGGGCAGTGTCAGCACACGTGCTCAAGGGAACATGGAACCATGGGTGGGACTGTGTGCCTGCACTCTTGGAGTCCTCTCCACACTGCAATTTTGGTGCTGAGGTGGCGTGCAACAGATCGGCGCGCGAGAGTGTGCACGGGTCGATCATGGATCGATGGACAGCAATCAAGGATCGGAATTAATGCCAATCAGGGCCATCGTACGCGCAGGGATGGACGTGGAAAACATTGCTCTCCATGAAGGCATGGTCCTTGGGGCGCAGACGACGGTCTCAGGTGTGTGGATTCTTGAAGAATGACGCGGGCCGAACGATTTGTACGGGAAACCCGGTTGTCGATGGTGGACTTGGTCATGCCCATCGTAAGCGAGCAGATCCAAAGCAGTCGGAGTGCCGGGCACAGCCAAGGCTCTGTGGTTTGCTTGATCGGCCGAGCTATTTGAAGGTGAGGTGTAGTCTCGTACTGGCCCAATTGCTAACAAAGCGATTGGGAACAATTATTACTAGGGACCTCCATTTGTTTGATAACGTGATGGACACCAAGGTCATGTCTTCATCATGCTTGGACACGTGGGCGGGTCTAGGAGACCAGAGAGGCAAAAATGGCGTGTGGGGTGGCGAAGAACCTTGTTGTTGGCAGGTGGGAAGGCCAATACAGGGCACCTTTTTCAAGCGTCTGTTACAAACCGCTGCAGTGGGAGACGCTGGCTGCTGGTGGTGTGGACGGAGTGGTACTGGACTGCCAGGGAGATGGAACCGCAGTGTCTGTTTTCGAGTCGAGCACTTGCACCATATTGTTTGCTTGCCTCTTGTTTAGCCCTTGCATGTGCCCGGCACACAGCGCAGTTCACGGGCAGCTGCGTGTGGGGCTGCAGGCTGATATTGAGCCGGGGGAAAAGTGGTGCCAGGCGTGAACAGTCCAACCGTTCCATCACGGTGAAGAAAACAAGGTGAACCACGACCCGAGCATGCACAGCCCGATAAAACAAAACAAACGAATATAATGTAGCACGAGGCATGGATTAATTTCCTCGAGACAACGATATGAAACGCATACGCAATTGTGTCCTCCCCGAATAAGGCCGCCCGGCAGAAACCAAGGGGCGTTGTGGCAACTGCGACTGAAACCTGGCCTGGAATGCACTATGGTGTCCGCCAGGTGCCACGAGCTGGCGTCGAGCGTGCAGAAGATGGGCTGACTTTAGACTCCATCACAGGTACTGATTCTGAGCGTCAAGCTCCCTGCTCTGCTGCCAAAGTAAAATTTGGTTGAACGGGCATGGCATTGTGCTGGGCCCCAAACCGTGTCGCCCAGCACGTCCCATGTTGCATAATTTGACGCAGGGCAATGCAAAATCTTGCTGATTCCTCTCCAATTTCATGCATCAGAAAGATCTACCCACTTTTCAGTGGCACTTTGCACTGCTGCATAGCTCTCCTTTGCTGATGATCCATGGCTTCGGACCATGCAGTAATGCTAGGTGGGAAAGGAAGGGGGGCAAGGGCAGTACCGCGTGGATGGAAGCGTTTTGTAAGAATCAATCCTATGTCAGCTGTGGATTCAGCCAACACAGGAATCAAGCACAGCCTTAATACCCAGCTGTTACATGCATGTTGCCAAAAGCATGAATACTGAGTGCATGTGCAACTGTAATCTGTTCTGTACTGTACTGCGAGAATCGAAACTTTGTGGCCAGGACAATAGAGACCAGGTGGGCATTCAATTCGTGCTTCTAGCGTCTGCCATCAACGTGCATTCCTCTACTGCAGTGTTGGGCAACAACCACAACTATCCAAGTTGGGATGGAACGATATGACAGCAGAAAGGT